GTGGCTTGCCAGTTCCTCCTCCAGGTGGATCACGTTTGGTCAAAACTCTCCACTATGACCTGTCCATCTTGGGTGCCCTGCTCGGCATAGTTCATAGCTTCTCTGAAAGCCCCTTTGCCACAGCAAGGCAGTGATCCATGAAGGGGGCTATGGTTTTCCCAGTAGTGATGTATGGAAGTGAGAGCTGGACCATAAAGAAGGCTGATCGCCAAAAAATGGATGCTTTTGAATTATGGTGCTGGAGGAGACTCTTGAGAGTCCCATGGACTGCAAGAAGATCAAACCTATCCATTCTGAAGGAAATCAGCCCTGAGTGCTCACTGGAAGGACAGATCGTGAAGCTGAGGCTCCAATACTTTGGCCACCTCATGAGAAGAGAAGACTCCCTGGAAAAAAACCCCTGGTGTTGGGAAAGATGGAGGGCACAAGGAGAAGGGGACGACAGAGCATGAGATGGTTGGACAGTGTTCTCGAAGCCACAAACATGAGTTTGACCAAACTGCGGGAGGCAGTGGAAGACAGGAGTGCCTGGCGTGCTCTGGTCCATAGGGTCACAAAGAGTCGGACATGACTAAACGACTAAACAACAACAACAACAACATGCTTCACAGCTAGCTTCCGTGTTATTTATACCCTGCATGAATCTGGTGCTCACAATGCACAGTTGTGAGTCCAGTGCACTGGGACCTGTTTTCCAGGACTGGAAGGTCTCTGAAAGTGCTCCAGTCGCCTAGCCCAGTCGGGGCAGATCCAGTTGTTGAGCCCAGTCGCTGATATCGGTTGAAAGGCATACTGACAAAAACTACGGTAGTTCTCAATCCTACCACCCCCACAGAAAATGACTGGCCCTCCCAGATCTCACCTGGGAGATTTGCTTTCTCCCCCAGTCAGTGGCGTAGCGTGGGTTGTCAGCACCCGGGGCAAGGCAAGTAATTTGCGCCCCCTAACCCTAACCCCCAGATGTTGCGCCCGGTGCGGCCGGCCCCCCCTGCACCCCCCACACTACGCCACTGCCCCCAGTCTCTCACTCCGTGGACTCTCCAGTTCCTTGCCTCTCGCCCAGGGCCCTTTCACGATCTAGCTGCCACTTTCATGGCGGTCTGACCACAGGCTCCACTTGTCTGTGCAGAAAGCGCTTTAACTTAGCGGACGTGAGTGCGTGTTAGAGACAGCAAATGGACAAAAAAAACCCCAAGCCGTTTCCTCTACCTTGTCAAATGGCAAGGGCCACTCCACAGTGCCTGGGTTGATGGTGAATTGTTGGGAATGCTGTCCTCCGACGCTCCCAACTTTCACTCTCCCGTGAGACTTGTTGGGAAACTGCACCCAGTTTATGATGTCAAAGTCGGCTGCCGGCTCCTCCTTCCCATCGACAGAAGTATTATCAGCAAGGTGGGCTTCTCTTAAGAAAGCGATAAACTAGAATGATAGAGGAAACGCCATCATTTGGAAAACATTCAGAAACAGTGTTGGATATCTCTCCCGAAGATCAGGCCCAAAGGAGGGTGCCTGGGAGTGGTTGGGTGCAGTGATACGAAGGAAGGATGTCAAAAATGCCAGAGTGATCAGTTCTAGTGCTTTATTAAAAGAAAAGTATAGACTTGCAGCAAATCAGCCGGTCGGGTCTCTCAACCTTTATAGACTTAGCATGTACATAACTGCAAGGATATGACTTGTCAGCAGCCAAGCAAACATTGACCACAAAGTGGCAAAGGTCATTTTCACCAGGACTTCCCATCACTTCGCCTGACCAGATGAGGGCACAGGTGGCAAATACCCACATCTTGCTGATAGTTCCCCTTTCTGGGCTCAGAGCCCAGCACCCCAAGCCCACAGGTAAGGATCACATGAAAGCAAGCCAGTTAGCTTATACCAAAGCAAGCAAATATATGCACAAAGGAGCTCACTGCTGCAACAACTACCAGTTAATTGTGGGGTTGTCTTGACTGCCAGGATGGCATTTGCAAAGAGAGCTTCAGGAACAGTTCAACTTTGGTTCAACACAATATCTCAGCCCTGCTCCCTGTGAGCTCCAGGGCTGCCATATTTCGAAGGGCAAAAAAAGAGGACACATTTGATAACATCTGCTTTTAACTATGGATCTCTATGATGACTCTACCCATGAAAAAGAGGACACGTCCTGAAAAAAGAGGACATATGTCATATTCCTACGACTGGAGTTCACCTTACCGGGGTTAACACTCCACCCCACTCCCAATGTATGAATCACCTCTTTCTGGGGATGACTGGAGTTGTTATATATTTATTTATTTATTGCATTTATAAGGCTTCTTACGCATCCTTCGCTAAAGACTGAGGATAGATAAAACGAAGTACTTATTCATGCAGTGCATAGTTAACCTGTGGAACTCTCTCCCACAGTGATGTCCAACAACTTGGATGTCTTTAAAAGAGGATTTATGCTGCATTCTTTTTTGTTAGGAGAAATGGCTTGCAAAGATGTGTACATGGGTCAAAGATGCATGCATAAATTTGCACTCAAGTGCAGAAGAATTTTCGTGAGGGTTTTAAAAAAACAAACAAACAAAAATAACTCAGAAATTGCTCAGAAATCCGGAGGAATGAATTCAGGGTTGTGGTAGAGGGAAGAAACTGAAATGGACATTTCCATCCCTACCTGCCACGGATGCAGCCTTTGAAGTTCCAACCTAGTGCCTTCGCCTGTGACCTTGTGCTTGGATCTCTGTGAATAAACAGCACTCAAAGCATGGGCCAGGACCCGGACAACGTCGTAGTTCCTGTAGCTGTCCTGGGACAGGATCCTTTCACGCTCACGTTGTGGCAGGAGATCCATTTCCTCATGCACTGTGCATCTTGTCCAGCCTTTCACAGACAACTCGTGCTTGGAGCAGTCAAATGCGCTCTTCCAAAGTGACTCGAGAAAGGAGGAATATGGTTCGTAGAAGTCTTGTTTCACCTGCTTGCTTGTCTTCGTGAATGAGAACGAGCCGAGAATGTGCCGGAACAAGGCAAAATCATAATACAAGATCATGTTGATGTCCTGCACAGCTGTGGTGATCCAGACTTTCCCCGCAGCTGCTGTTAGCTTCTCTTCCAGGATTTGTTGCACCGTGACAACAGGACCAAAAGCAAAGCCAGAGTCTGCATAGCAAACAAATACATTGACTCGTCTCCACATGTCTAGAGAGTCACTCTGGAACCATGTTTCATACGGCCTTTTGGAGAAGGCAACGCAGATGTTGTTCCCGATGAGCTGAGATATCAAAGCCCTCCTGAACCTTTCTCCGTTCTCATTGTCTGGGGTAAATAGGCCGACCCACATCCACCCGAAATGCAGGAGCAGTTTGACAATCCCCAGGCACTGGGCTTCTTCGTTTTGGAACATCCGGTAGACAAAAGGGAACTGGGTTTTGTCATCAAGAGCAAAGCCATAGCTGAGCTAATGAGGAAAGAGGAAAAGACAGGTGTCATCATGATAACAGTCCACTGTCTCTCAAGACAGATGGGTGACAACAACAACATTATGGTGCGTGTGTGTACAGAGATGGTTTTATTGTATTATGTTTATGGTGATTCACCTGCCCTTCACCCTTCACTTCCCAGGTTACAATGATTTAAAATGCAGTTTTAAAAATTACAAAAATTACAATCATCCTGAAAATATACATCTCAAGTTTCAAGTTTGCATCTTTTCTATTTTATCTCTATAAAGGGAGATTTCATCCACCCCCAAGCTCTTGTTTTGGGGGACACCCTCAATTGTGGTGGAATCTCGAGAATGGGCTCCAAGAAAAGGCTCGTTCTTGATTTACTCAGAGAGTAGATACCTGTGGGATTTTGTACACGCTCAGCATGGTTGAAATCTGTCTGGAGATGTCCGAATTGGCCCCTTCAAGAACAGCCAGCAGGTTATTCCGTTTCCCACACTGGTAGTTTGGGATGTTGCTGCTTTCGCCGCCCGCAGGGATGTCTATCATGGCATCAGAAGTGATTCTTTCATTGAAAAGGTTCTCATAGAAGCTGTATCCCAGGGTCACGTTGGGTAAGAGCTTGGGGTTCTGGTTGACCTCACGAATGGCGATCAGGAAGGAGAAGACATGCCAGTACCTCGTTACGGACACTCTGCAAATGATTCACCCAAACTGGACAAATGAGCATTAAAGTGGCAAATGGTGTTCAGCAAGCATAAAGAAACAAATTTAAATTAACACAAAAACAGAGACCGAGTTCTCACAGAGTCCTCTCTCAAAGGTAACCCTTGTCATTAACAGAAAGTGGTGGACCCTCCCAGTTCTCAGCTGGGAGCTTTCCTTCTTCTCCCAGTCTCTCACCCTGGGAGATCTTCCTTGCCTCTCACTCAGGGTCCTTCTATCAATCCCTCAGCCCGTGTGTGTGTGTGTGTGTGTGTGTGTGTGTGTGTGTGTGTGACCCTTGGACCCCAGCAATGGCCCAGAGCAGAGGACACTGAAGTTGAAGGGAAAGCTTAAAAAGGAGGGGAAAGGAAGAAAAGAAGGGGGGGGAAATACTTTTCCATCTGTCAGTTGCATAAAAGAATTTATTCAAAACATTCATTCTGGGACTTACGCTATAGTCTTAGACAATGGAGGTTTGGAAAACAGGAATGGTTCAAAGAAACCCCTTTTTGGAGACAGGACTCCGCCAATGAGGTGGTCTCCTGGCATGTAGTAATTCACAGCTTCGTTTTCATCTGGGATCAGATTCAAGGGGCATTTTGCCTTTGCTACCCCATAGACGTCGCGGGGCATTAGCAGGAGCAGCAGAATGAGGATGATCATGTTGGCTCTGCCTGCTACCTCCCCTGAGACTGCCCTCAACTGCAGGGTCTTCACTCAGGCAGGAGCCCAGCTAGAAATTCAGAGACCAAGTGTATAATGGTAGGATCAGGAACCTGGATAAATGCCTTATACCAAATCTGTTCATTTACATCACTACTGCCTATTCTGACTGGCAGTCAGCTCTACGGGCTTTCAGGCAGAGGGTCTCTCCCCAGAGGTACCTGGAAATGCCAGGGATTGAACCTGCGACCTTCTGCATGCAAAGCAGATGCTCTACCTCTGAGCTGCAGCTCTCTTCTCACTCCAACAGAGTCTGCTGCCCTGCAACTACCCTAAACCTCCACCCAGGCTCTCAGTGGCAAACGACCCCTTTATGCACCAATTTCCCTGGGGCTCTGTTCAAGATGTGACTTGATTCTGCTTTTCGTTGCTATTGGACTCGAAGGCAGGGAAACAACCATGGAGTGTTGCAGAGAGCGAGAGAATAAATCACAGTGATTTTGATAATTACAAGGGGGGAGAGAATCACCGCCAGCACCTCTGCGACAACCTGGACTCTGTGGCTCCAACTACAGGTGGCACAAGTGGAAATTGATAGTGGTGATAATAATAATAATAATAATAATAATAATAATAATAATAATAATAAATTAATTAATAAAAACACCAGACATTAAAAACTTTCCTAAACAGGGCTGAATCGTAAGAGTTGGAAGGGACCCCATGGAACTTCTAGTCCAAACTGCCCCCCCCCCCGTGCAATGCAGGGACCTCAGCTTAAGCATCCATGACAGATTAATTTAATTTATTATTTATACCCCACCCTTCTGGCTGGGTTTCCCCCAGCCACTCTCGGAGGCTTCCAACAGAATATTAAAATACAATAACCTATTAAACATTAAAAGCTTCCCTAAACAGGGCTGCCTTCAGATGTCTTTTAAAAGTCTAGTAGTTCTTGTTCTCTTTGACATCTGAAGGGAGGGCGTTCCACAGGGCGGGTGCCACTACCAAGAAGGCCCTCTGCCTGGTTCCCTGTAACTTGGCTTCTCGCAGTGAGGGAACCGTCAGAAGGCCCTCGGCGCTGGACCTCAGTGTCTGGGCTGAATGCTGAGGGTGGAGACACACCTTCAGCTTTAGCAAAAGCCAGGAGATGCAAAGAGAAGGGAAGGTAGGGGGGCACACCAGCCCCGACCCACATAATCAACCCCATGCATGCACACCGTTTGAGTGGCAATGCCCATCAACTTCAGGGTGGGGGTGGTGAGGCTGTCCCCTCAAATTTTTTATTGGAGGAGAGCAGAGACCCCTCAGCCCCTAGGAGTTGGCTCCTGTTGGGGAAAGCAAAGGGGGGGGTTGCAGCGAATGACGGGTGGGGAATCCAAAAGGACCCACACCTGATGCCTGGAGTGCGGAAAGAGCTTCAGAGATTATGGGACCCTTACTAAATATCAGAGAATCCACACGGGAGAAGTCATACAAGTGTATGGAATGTGGAAAGGGCTTTGTGGAGGCCCATGGTCTCAGTTTTCATCTGAGAACTCCCACGGGGGAGAAGCCGTTTACATGTGAGGAATGTGGAAAGAGTTTCTGTTTGTCGTCGCATCTTAAGGTTCAACGGCGCATCCACACAGGGGAGAAACCGTATGAATGCAAAGTTTGTGGGAAATGCTTCCCTGTAGGCGGAAACCTTAAAGTGCACCAAAGAAGCCACACAGAACCATCCATATAAGTGTGTGGAAAGAGCCTCCATGGACCCAACTGTCTTCACATTGAAGAAGCCATGAGTTGGCTCATTTGCAGAATTTATGGAGCACGAAAGAACCCAGCACATGAAGCGTGGATTAAAGTTTCGGTGATAAATAGAGAAGCTCCCAGAAGGATGTGAGCTTAGAATCATGAAATGAATTTCAGTAGGGACAAATGTAAGCTCAGGCAGGAATAACCAGCTCCACATGTATAAGATGTGTATAAGTGTATAAGACACTTAGCTAGCCAGTAGTACTTGTGAAAAAGATCTTAGTTGAACCTGCCGTGATTAGAAATTGAATGCTGTGAGCACAACAGCCTGTCACAGAAGTACTCACAGAACGGGGGGGGGGGCGGCGCAACGGTGAAGGGGCAATGAGGCATCAGTTCTGGCACCCTTTTCTCTAGAGAAAAAGTGCTGGTACCGCTCTTGGTCGCCCTCTTCTGCAAATATAATGTTCTTAAATTGTGGTGCCGAGAACTGGACACAATATTCTAGGTGTGGTCTGACCAAGGCTGAATAGTACTGCTCTATTTAGCCTCTGTCAGCAGAAACATGGAATACTGTGTGCAGTTCTGGGCACCACAATTTAAGAAGATTGTATGTGCAGAGAAGGGGGACCAAGATGATCAATGGTCTGGAAACCAAACCTTATGCGGAACAGTAGAGGGAGTTGATTATGTTTAGCCTGGAAAAGAGGAAACTGAGAGATGTGACAGAGCACCTTAAATATCTAAAAGTCTGTCCCATGGAAGATGGAGCAAGCTTGTTTTCTCCTGCTCTGGAAGGTAGGACCAGATCCAATGGATTCAAGTTCCAAGGCAGGAGATTCTGAGTAAATGTCAGGAAGAACTTTCCAGCAGTAAGAGATGTTTGACAGTGGAACGGACTCCCTCACCTCGGAAGATTGTGGACTCTCCTTCCTTGGAGTGTTGGACAGCCACCTGTCATGAATGCTTTAGTTAAGATTCTTCCATTGCAGGGATTTGGACTAGATTACCATCCAGGCCCTTCCAACTCTATGATTCCCTGAACGAACTAAGCCCACGAAGCATGGAAAAAAGTTTCAGTGATAAACAGAAATCCTACTAGAGAGGAAGAAATCTTCAGCAGGGTGTTAGCGTAGAAAATGTGGAAGATTGTTCAGGTAGAAAGCTCATCATAGGGACATCAGTGTAGATAGGAAAGATGCCTTACTTACACATAATTTTTAATAATAATGATGATGATGATAATAATAATAATAATAATAATAATAATAATAATAATATATCATTTATACCCCGCCCATCTGGCTGAGTTTCCCCAGCCACTCTGGGCGGCTTCCAATCGAGTGTTAAAAACAATGTGACGTCGCATGGGGGCGGTGCGTGCGTTAGTCACGGCCACCCGCTACATTGTAAGGGGCATGTATGCTGGTCACTGCATTGAAAGGGGGCATGTACGCTGGCCACTGTTTTGAAGGGGAGTGAAGAACACACACAAAAAAAGGTAACTTGTTAATTTAACATTTATTTCTATGAGGAGGAGTAATTCTGAGGGGTCAAACAAAGAAATAATAAAAAAGTGACAAAAAAGTTATTTTTCTAATGACAAGTTTTGCGGCTCCCAGTTTTGTTTTCTTCGGAAACGGGTCCAAGTGGCTCTTTTTGTCTTAAAGGTTGCAGACCCCTGTCATAGGCTTTCATAGGTTGAAGGAGTTGGGTATGGTTTAGCCTGGAAAAGAGGAAACTGAGAGGAGATGTGATAGAGCACCTTAAATATCTAAAAGTCTGTCCCATGGAAGATGGAGCAAGCTTGTTTTCTCCTGCTCTGGAAGGTAGGACCAGATCCAATGGATTCAAGTTCCAAGGCAGGAGATTCTGAGTAAATGTCAGGAAGAACTTTCCAGCAGTAAGAGATGTTTGACAGTGGAACGGACTCCCTCACCTCGGAAGATTGTGGACTCTCCTTCCTTGGAGTGTTGGACAGCCACCTGTCATGAATGCTTTAGTTAAGATTCTTCCATTGCAGGCGCTTGGACTAGATTACCATCCAGGCCCTTCTGACTCTATGATTCCCTGAACGAACTAAGCCCACGAAGGATGGAAAAAACTTTCAGTGATAAACAGAAATCCTACTAGAGAGGAAGAAATCTTCAGCAGGATGTTAGCGTAGAAAATGTGGAAGATTGTTCAGGTAGAAAGCTCATCATAGGGACATCAGTGTAGATAGAAAAGATGCCTTACTTATACATCACTTTTTAAAAGATGTACTTTAAATACTTCATCGTTGATTCTCCCCCCCCCTTCCTTTTCCTTCCAAGCTGTTGCTGTTAGAGATGCATTATATGTTACAGCTGTATGGGAGATAAGCAGGACATAACTTATGTTATGAAACTCTGTATTTTAGTAAGCATTTTTTCTTATGCAGGTGGGGAACATCATGCGAGAGATAGATTGACATGCGTGTGCAACCCACACGTCGTTTTCGGCCCTAGAAGACGGGGGGGGCCGCGCGAAATGAGCTTTTGTGCAACTGCTGCTGTGCGATGACCCAGAATGCAACCCCCGTGCAAACAGCAAGTTGCCTGTATTAAAATTGTGTCGTACTGCAGAAATAAAGTTCTGTTTGGTGGGGATGACTGCGTTCTACGTGGGGCTACCTTTGAAGGTGACCCAGAAACTGTGATTAATCCAGAATGTGGCAGCTAGACTGGTGACTGGGAGTGGCCGCCGGGACCACATAACACCGGTTCTGAGAGATCTGCATTGGCTCCCAGTATGTTTCCGAGCACAATTCAAAGTGTTGGTGCTGACCTTTAAAGCCCTAAATGGCTTCGGTCCTGTATACCTGAAGGAGTGTCTCCACCCCCATCGTTCTGCTCGGACACTGAAATCCAGCGCCGAGGGCCTTCTGGCGGTTCACTCATTGCGAGAAGTGAGGTTACAGGGAACCAGACAGAGGGCCTTCTCGGTAGTGGCGCCCGCCCTGTGGAACGCCCTCCCTTCAGATGTGAAGGAAATAAGTAGCTATCTTATCTTTAAAAGACATCTGAAGGCAGCCCTGTTTAGGGAAGTTTTTAATATTTAATGCTGTATTGTTTTTAACATTTGATTGGAAGCCGCCCAGAGTGGCTGGGGAAACTCAGCCAGATGGGCGGGGTTTATATAATAAATTATTATTATTACTATCATTATTATTATTATTATTATTAGTGCTTAGAGTTCTTTGTAAACCTCAGAGAATGCACAAGGAGACAAAGCTTTTGTGATAATTCAGATGGTGCGGAAGGTTCAGTTAGTGGAGAATGTGTCTGGTAAGGGGGAAGATTGCCTTGGGGATGTGGAGATCCAGGCATGTCAGTGTGATCTCAGGACTGCAATACCTCAAGGACCGCCTCTTCCCATATAAACCTACCCGGACCCTGAGGTCATCTTCTGAGGCCCTCCTTCATGTACCTCCTCCTCAAGAGGTCCGTAGGGCAGCAACACAAGAACGGGGACTTCTCTGCAGTGGCTTCCTGTCTGTGGAATGCTCTCCCCAGGGAGGTTCACCTGGCGCCTTC